ATGACAGTGGAAGAACCATGAGCAAGCTGAGATACCATCTTCAATCCTATATCCATCATCCTCTCTTGACACACAATTTTAATAACATAGAAAAATTGTCCTAATCAACTATAAAAAAAGTCTGCAGCATTTCTCAGAAATTCAGAATAAGTTGTCCTGAAATTAATTAATTACTTATGGAAAAACATATATAAACGTAAAACATATGTAAATGTTGTACTACTTCAAAAAGCTAAATTCCATTTTCTCCCTCAAAAAAGGCAAGTTAACAAACTAAAGTAACAAATAAACAAACAAAAACAGATTGTTTCAGGTAATTTGCACGAAAAATCTCATCTTGATTTCTTCTGTTTCATGTTACTAACTTTGATGTCTTGTAAGGGAAATTGCTGGACAGCCCTAGTTAGGAGTCATTTCTAATAATTAACCTAATAAATAAGAGTCATTTCTAATAATTTTACAATTACTGAGACATGGTGGGACAGTTCTCATAACTGGAACATGGCCATGGATGGCTTTAGGCTTTTCAGGAAGGACAGGCCAGGAAGTTGTGGAGTCTCTTTACGTGGGAATGTATGGAGCTCAGCACAGGGGAAGACAAAGCATGGGTCGAGAGACTGTGGGTAATGATTAAAGGGAAGGCCAACAGCAGCGACATGGTTGTGGAGTTTACTACAGGCCTCCTGACCAGGGAGAGGAAGAGGATGAGGCCTTCTACAGGCAGCTGCAAGAAGGCTCATGATCCTAGGCCCTGGTCTTTATGGGGAACTTCACCCTGATGTCTCCTGGGATAATCACACAGCTAGGAGGAGACAGTCCAGGAGGCTCCTGCAGAGCATTGCAGATTCCTTCTTGATGCGGGTGGTTGATGAGTCAACAAGGGTAGGGGTGCTGCTAGAGTTGATGCTAATAAACAGAGATGGTCTAGTGGGAAATGTGAAGGTTGAGGACAGTCTTGACTGCAGTGACCACGAGATGCTGGAATTCATGATCCTGCAAGGTGGAAGCTAGGCAAGAAGTAGGATTGCAACCCTGGACTTTAGGAGAGCTAACTTTGACCTCTTCAGGGAGCTCCTTGGAGGAATCCTCTGGGCAAGGGTCCTAGAAGGAAAGGGGATGCAGGAGAATTGGCTACTATTCAAGCACCACTTTCTCCAAGCTCAGGATTGGTTCATTCCTATCAGAAAGAAGTGGAGCAAGGTGGGCAGGAGACCTGCGTGGATGGTCAAAGAGCTGTTGGGTAAACTTAATGAGAAATAGAGAATGTACGTAATGTGGAAGAAGGGCCAGATCACGTGGGAACAATATAGGAACATTGTCAGAGAATGCAGGGATGCAACAAGGAAGGGCAAGTTCAGTTTGGAATTAGAGTTAGCGAGAGATGTCAGGGACAACAGGAAGGACTTCTATAAATACATCAGCAGCAAGAGGAAGACTAGGGAAAATGTTAGTTCACTGCTGAATAGGGAGGGTGCCTTGGTGACGGAGGATGCTGAGAAGGCATATTAAATGCCTTCTTTGCTTCCCATTTTTGCTGCTAAGGCTAATCCCCATGAACTACAGAGCCCGGAGACAAGAAAAGGTACCAGGGGAGAGGACTTTCTGCTGGTCGAGGAGGATTGGGTTAGGGATTATTTAGGCAAACTGGACACCCATAAATCTATGGTCCCAGATGGGATGCAGAGGGAAGAGTGGGATGAAGAGTGCTGAAGGAACTGGCAGATGTCATTGCTCAGCCACTCTCCATCATCTTCAAGAGGTCATGGGGGGCAGGAGAGATGCCTGGGGACTGGAAGAGACTAGCGTCACTCCAGTCTGCAAAAAAGGCAAGAGGGAGGAGTCAAGAGACTACAGGATGGTCAGTCTCACCTCCATCCATGGAAAAGTAATGAAGCAGCTCATCCTAGAGACCATCTCTAGGCATGTTGAAGAAAAGAAGGTGATCAGGAGTAGCCAGCATGGATTTACCAAGGGAAGATCATGTTTGATGAGCCTGATAGCCTTATACTATAATGAGGTGACTGGCTGGATGGATGATGGGAGAGCCGTGGATATTGTCTACCTTGATTTCAGCAAGGCTTTCGACACACACAGTCTCCCATAACATCCTCATAGGAAAGCTCCAAAAGTGTGGACTGGATGAGTGGACAGTGAAGTGGATTGAGGACTGGCTGGATGGCAGAGCCCAGAGGGTGGTGATAAATGGGGCCGAGTCTAGTCTGCGGCCAGTAGTGTCAGTGACCAGGTGCACAGGTGACCACAAGGGCCAGTACTGGGACCAGTGCTGTTTAACTTGTTCATCAATGACTTGGACAAGGGCACAGAGTGCACCCTCAGCCAGTTTGCAGATGCGACAAAACTGGGTGGAGAGGCTGACACTGTGCTGCCATTCAGAAGGATGTAGACACGATGGAGAATTGGGCAGAGAGGAACCTCATGAGGTTCAACAACGGCAAGGGAAAGGTCCTGCACCTGGGAAGGAATAACCGCAGACACCAGTACAGATTAGGGGTTAACCTGCTGGAAAGCAGCTCTGCAGAGAAGGATTTGGGAGTCCTGGTTGACAACAGGTTAACCATGAGTCAGCAATGTACCCTACAAGGCAGCCAATGGGATCCTGGTCTGCATCAGGAGTAGCTGCCTGCAGGTCGAGAGAGGGGATCCTCCCCCTCTACTCAGCTCTGGTGAGGCCACACCTGGAGTACTGTGTGCAGTTCTGGGCTTCCCAGTACAAGAAGGACATTGAGCTTCTAGAGATGGCCCAGCGTACTGCGACAAAGATGATTAAAGGACTGGAGCATTTGTCATATGAGGAAAGACTAAGCGAGCTGGGCCTGTTTAGTCTGAAGAAGAGAAGACTGAGAGAAGATCTGATCAACATGTACAAGTATCTGAGGGATTAATGTAGGGAGGATGAGGCCAGGCTCTTCTCTGTGGTGGCTGGTGACAAGACAAAGAGGTAATGGGTGCAAGCTGAAACGTAGGAAGTTTAATCTCCATGTGAGGAACCCTCCTTACTGTGAGGGTGACAGAGCCCTGGAACAGGCTGCCCAGAGAGGTTGTGGAGTCTCCTTCTCTGGAGATCTTCAAAACCTGTCTGGACGCCCCCCCTGTGCCACATGCTGCAAGTTTCCCTGCTTGAGCAGGGAGATTGAATTAGATGATCTCTAGAGGTCCCTTCCAACTTTAACCATTCTGTGATTCTGTAATAGCATTACTGATATTAATACAACAGTCCTTTATTTGTAACTCTCACTATTTGTATCTTCTTTCCACTATTTATTCAGCATATATTTAGTACTATTATATAGCATGAGAGGGTGGTAGTGAATACCGCCAGGTTGCCCAGAGAGGTTATATAGTCTCCATCCTTGAAGATATTCAACTGGCCATGATCCTGGGAAATGTACTCCAGGTGACCCTGCCTGAGAAGGGGATTGGACAAAATGAAATCCAGAGGTCCCTTCTCTACCATTGAGTCCTCTAAGCTTTTTCTCCCTTTTCATTTGGTGAAGGATGCTATCATCTTGTCTGTTAGTTATTTTATCATTTGCAAATTCATTTTCTATATTTACTGGGTGATATAGAAAGGACTAAAATTACAATTATACTAATAATGATTTTTTTCAGCCATTACACAAATTACAGATGTGGAATTGTTTATGAGCAGTTTAAAAAATGATAGTAAAGACAGAGAGGAATTGATTAAAAAAAGAGAGAATCCATATTATAGAAGCACATTTTTAGATTTAGATTAAGAAAATAATACAATACAGAATTTGGGTTATTTTAAATGTTTAAACATACAGTTTATATTGTCTTTAATTAACATTTCTAGTAAGGTTAAAATGTCAATAATCCAAGTAAATACTCATATTCTATTTCACAAAAAGGCAGGAGGAAATCTAAAGCATATACTTCCCCTGTGTGAGTCTTCTGTTTGTTAATTACACTGTAGCTAAAGTATGTAGGCACCATCTGTTTCACTCAGGCAACATTACACATTCAAAGAAAGTATATTCAAGCCGAAAATAAGATTATATAGAATTATCCTTCGCTTTTCTCCCCATTATATAATTTTTTCTTGGATAGCAAGATAATATACCCAGAGGGCAAAAGCATAATTGAGGCTGCATTGGTTTTTATGCAATATTCTAAAAATATTAAGATTAAAAACAAAAACAAACAAAAAAACCTATGTTGCTTAGCATTTGTTCCTAAATATTTGCCTATTCCTAAATATCTGTGAAACATCAAGTATTTGAGAAGGAGCCTGGATTGAAGAGTAAGACAAAAAATGCTTAGGCAGTAGCACCTCATGGATTCTTTAAATGGTCTGTGCAATAATACCTCAAGAGACATCAAGGACATGGAGAACTAAGTAAAATATATTTTAAGATGAAAGTACAAAATCTCTTCTGAATTAAAGCACTGGAAGTATATGAGTAACTGGTTCAATCCATTTTCTCCTTTAGTCCTATCCTTAGTCTACACCAACCTCTTTTTTCCAACTCAACTTAGATGACTAAATGAATAATTTCAATATACAATGTTGTCCCCATAATTTTTTGGCTCAGCCCCAAAATAACTGAGAGTGTGCTGAGGATGTTTTGTCCTACACAAATGCAACAGGAATAAAAACTCTGCAGAGATGTCTCAGAAAGCAGAGGCTTTTATTGATCAGAAAAGGATGGAGCCTTTGGCATTCCTATATCACCTGTGAAAAGTACTAGCCATAATTATGGAGAACTTTTGCACTTTCCCAGCTGTCCTTGGAACAATGACAAATAGCAAAAGACATAAGTATTTTTTGAAAACACACAACCAACCTTTCTTTTGGGAAAAAAAAAAGGATAAAAATATAGTTTTACTACAAATCCATTAACTCTCTTCCTACTAGAACAGCTAGAAACATTGTCATTGAACTGTTGCCAACACTACTTATCTATAGGTGAGCCACCTAATACAAAAGTACTTAAAAACAAAATTCATGAACTTACTTGAAAACTGTATGGCAAATCCAGATTTACTGATGTAAAAGTCTGTGTCAAATTGGATTGTGACTATGTTGAGTGTACTGTGGATGCCTTCAGGAACAAGAGATCCGCTAATTTCCTTGAGTAACATTTCATTCTCAGGTGGTCCATCCCAAACTCGTAGAATGTCATGTGATGCCTCGGTATCAAAAGCAAGAAACTGGAGGCTGTGGGAATGTGATGATTTTATTGTTAGCTTTCATATTACTTGACAATAGATCTTTAGATATACTATCAAACCAAGAAAGCAAATAAACATTTTTTTCTGGGGGTTGTTCCATATTTTTTAATACCTTTATGTATATAAAACCCAAAACATGCATATATGTGAAAGCAAAGTTCCTTTGAAACTAATAAGTTTTCCAGTTACAGTTTTGTAACAGTTTTGTATATTAACACAGTGGTTCAAAATTCATCAACATGTTTCATAATATAGTAAGCAATTTTAAAGCTTGATTTTCATCAAATAATGTCTTTTGAAAAATAGTTAAACGCAGCTCTACAGATCTAGATTTAGGATGACAGAAATACTGGCCTTGATCTGCATGTGAAATCTTAAATTGTTATTTGTTAATATTTATTTATTTATTTATTCACTATATAGGTAATAATTAGTTATTATGTAATCAAAGAGATTTGTTATATGTAATTAAGACTTTCATTACCTGACAATATTTCCTGGGTCTACTTCAATCATCCACATGCAACGCAGATTGTTGTCATAAGGAAAAGGATAGCCAGGAGACAGGATTCTTCCTGATGATTCTCCTTTAAAACGACCTCCACATTCAGCTAATAAAAACACCATTACATAATGTGTTACTTTCATTTTGTTACAGATGGTCTTCCAACTAATCGTCTAAGCAATCAGTTTATACACCTACCTGAATAAATAACACAATCCAAACATGATAAAACTGAATGCATTTCTTACAATTTTAAGACAACACTTCCATTCTTTAAATCTTTTGGGAAAATAAGCCAAGAGTATATTTTTATTTAAATTCTCTTGTATTTTCCTTTAATACCTGTGTTTTTTTTAATCATTCTGAATGTAACATAATAATCAGAAAACATTGCATTTTATAATGAAAGGAACAAGGACTGTTACTTAAAAACTTAACGGCATAATGTCTCTCTAAAGCAGAGTAATCAAAAAAGAGAACTATTCAAGTAAGTACGAAGGAAAGAAAAGGAAAGCAAAACAGGGGAGAAATGAATTAAATAAAAGCAGACTATTGAGAGACAAAATCATACTTTTGGCTTACACGAAAAAATTGTAAAACTTCTTGCTAAAGAAGTGTGATCATAGGGAAGTTATGTCTCAGAGGACAGCAGATGGTAAGTAGCTCCCTGTTAGCTAGCTTCAGACAGATATTAGGCAAAGCTCAATATTTCATAATCTTGGTACTTAATCTCTGGGAAAACTTTATTTTTATGTAGACCCCGTAGGCTTTTAAAGCCTCCTTATTTTACTTTCTTTCTTTTTAAAGTCCCGTTAATGCTTTCTCTCTTGTGAAATCCAAAGTCCAAATAATGCTTTGATTAGATCTCTTGGTAGAGTTAAAATGCAGTTTTATTTTGATTTAACATCACCTAAAATATTTAGTTGAGAGATTTATTACCTTATGATCTCTGTGCTCTGTGATACAATATTAGAGAAATGGTACTCTTGATAAGATTCTCTTACATAATAAAAGTAAATTTTCAGAGACAGGTGGCCCTTCATGTCTTTTTTTTTTTTTAAATCACTTTGCTAACCTGTCAATTCCTAAAAACTCTTAAAAAAACTTCAGTGTTTATTCAGCTCAGAGGACAGTCTTGTCTATCATCTTCCAGTGAATGAGAATATAAATACAGTGCTCTGCAGAATGCAAATTATTCACTGACAAACTGAACAAAACTAAAAAGTAATTACATTCCCACCAGTGTACAGCTATCAGTATATCATTGTCACAGAGGATAATTGGTTTGCTTTTTTATCTGTGTAGAAGGTCCCTTCTCTTTCCTTAGAGGTACTTTCTGACTCTACAACAAGGCTCCTGCATTTAATGGGTGCTGACACAGATGTAAGTAAGTGAGGAGTCCTTGGCAGTCGTGGTGGCCATCAGCACCAAGGAGCAAGCACCTTCCTTCTCTACAGTGTTTACTAAGAAGATGATCCTATTTAACCATCACTACTCTGTTCCCACATGTCGATGTTAAAGATGATTGTAAGGGTTGCAGGTTAAATGGAATATGCTTTTCTTTCTGCAAATTCAGTGGTTAGTGTGTTGTTTTGCAATATTTACTGTGTATTTATTAAAACCTATGGTAACCAGAACTGCGCCGAAGGAGTTTTTTTCTGTTGTCTTGTCACTACCACATTTCTTCATTAAATTACATTAAACATATCGACACCTTTTTTTAAACTCCAGTTTCTGATTGTAACAGAAAATTGATGTGGCTTCGGACTTAATGTTGCTCAGAAATTGCCGGTAGAATCATTTTATTTGCAAATGCTGACATAAAATATTCTGTACACTATTTTCATGGATTCACAGAGCTTGGCTGAACAGTCTGTGTACTCTGAAAGAGTGATGGTGTTGGTCTGCCATCAGTGCCTTGTAAGCCGTAAACTCCAGTGCCAGCAGTTAGCAGAAATATAAACAAGTACTTTGGGTAGAAAGAGCATCGGTGTGTCAAAAACAAGCTTTTCTGCTAAATTTTCTTGTGTAGCAACAAAGCCTGTTTGATCTGATTCTAACTAAATGTGAATGTTGAAAGATTTCTATAACACAGAAAACTGTTAGAACAGTTTTACCAATTATTCATCTTCACTTCCTGCTGTTTATCTATTATAAACACTAAACTGCACTATTTTGAGCATAAATGAGCATGGGATTTTCAAAAGAGATTTCAATCTTATACCAAATCTGGCACTATGAGACTTTGCTGTGTTGTGTGTTGTGTTTCAGACGTGTTTTTTATTTTTATTATTTATTATTTTGCATTTTGTAACTGTCATTCTGCTTTCTGACTTTTTTTCTGACTATAATACCCTTAATCCCTTGCTCAACCCAGGAAGCCTAGAAGAGAGAAACTGGTGTCTAAGGCATTTTACACAATTCACATTGCATTTCTTCAACTGATTTCAAAGCATTGTTTTGACTCTTAATCAATATTAAAAAAAAATAGGGAATTCAAGGATCTCCCTCTACAACTTATATTCAAAAACTCTTCAGTTTCTTAAGTTAAAATAATTTTAAAATATATTTAGCCATACCAATTTAGACCTCAGCTTGGAATCGATATAGCAATACTGATACAGAAAACAGCTTTACAGCAGATTAACTCCTTCCTGAGCACAACTAAGAGGTTTTAATACTTAGCTAGAACAGATTATATTACTGAAATGAACAAAAACAACATAAAGCATTTGTAAACTCCATAAAGCATTAATAAAAGAAAGCACTTATCTACCTTTGTTTGCTTAATGAAGAGGTTAAGATAAATAAATCTAACCAAAAACCAACCTTGTCAACAATGCCTTTTTTTTTTTCTGTGTACAAACTATTTTTATTAAAATAACCATGCCTGATATGTTGTGATCTTGTTGCATACATGGTATTCTGAACTGGATGGATAAGTAACCTCCCTGGTAATAGTAAACTATGTTGGTATATTTTGAATAAGATTAATTTCAATCTCTAAGCAGTTTATACTAAACACTGACTCACAGTAACAGTACAGAAGGCAAGCGACAAAAAATATAATATTCCTTCATATCTGTTTTAGTATTTTTTACATTTTTTTCTTTTAATTGATCTTGTAATAACATACATATATATATGAAAATATATACATGCATATATTTATTTATATATGAAAAGTATTTTCTAACTTAAAGTTACTGAGTAACAATAATAAAGAATATATATTAGTTTTATAAACCCTTATAAAATTTATATTGTCTTGGTTTTTGTACTAAGATGTCTTTTTATGCTGATTATTTGGATATAATTAGGATTTCACTTATTAAAAATTTCATGCAGGCTTAATAACTACTATTTTGTTTACCAAGAAAAGCAACACCACTCATATAGATTCAAATGAATACTATGTACATATATAATTAAACTTATCTGTATATAGATCCATATATGTACAGATCATGTTTCGTACATATCTAACAAACACTCTCTAAAGAAAAGCCCACTTTTTTTTTTCAAAAAATCTTATATTTAGACAGTAGTAAAAATGGAGAAGTCTACTACCAATACATGATGGCAGAGGATAGTCCCATGCTCTTCTTTCCCCTGTCATACACTTCAGAAGGCTACTTCCATGTAGCGTGTAACCTGGATTGCACCCATAAATTATAGTGCTTCCAGCAAAATGCCCTTGGTCACTAATCTTGTATCCAAACTGTGGCACACCAGGGTCCTCACAATGTGAAAGCTCAAAACCTGTGTTATGAATAATAATAAAAAAATGTAGTTACAACATCAAACAGATACGTACATTGATTAAATTAACTTTTTTTTTTTCCCCCCCAGTGGAAAGTAAACATTTTAGATATTATGTAAAATTTCTACACAGAAAGAGTGGTCAAACATTGGAACAAGCTGCCTAGGGAAGTGGTGGAGTCACTGTCCCTGGCAGTATTCAAGAACCGTGTAGATGAGGCAGGTAGGGACGTGCTTTAGCAGGCCTGGTGCTGATGAGTTTACAGTTGCACTTGATGATCTTGAAGGTCTTTTCCAATCATAATGATTCTATGATATTGTGATTTTCAGGCCTCATGTAATAATATAATAAAGGTTTCTTGATTGTCTTTTAACAGTCTAAGTATAATCAAACAAACTGTCACGGCAGCATTTTTTCTTAAGATTCCAACTAAGGACTCAGAAGAGAATTCATGATAATTATCGATCAAATCTGAAGTACTATGATAGATTGTAAAATGTCCATTTTCTCTGATGACAATTTAGTTTGTGAATAGTCGTTAAATGTCTCATAAACAAAATTTAACAGCAGATTTGTTTCTTGCTATTGTGCACAATAGCACCAGCAGCATCATGGCATCTGTGGCACAAAATATATGTTGTTATATTCGATGCCTACTCTAACCCTGCTTTTAATAGTTTGTAAGCTTAAAAACCACAACAGTGATGATGATAGAAAGAATCAAAAAAAAATCAGTCAATGTTGAGAATTAGAAGATCCGGAACAAGGAAAAAATGGTTTATATACTGTACAAAGGCATTAACATTAACAAAACAAAAACATTAACATTTGGGGAAACAAGCTGTAATTTAGAACAAAGATTTTCTATTCAAAATGCTCTTTGTTCTTACTAAATGAAAGCACCTTGAAGACTTACGTGGTTGAAAACAAATATATTTTAAAATTATCACTCAGCTCATATTGCATGTAGGTAAAAAAGATATCTTGTTAACAGTTTGGTATTCCTATACATAGCTGATATGGGAGCAAATTAAGAGATTTCCATTTCTGCATTGTCCAATTAAGTCATTTCCACAGTATTTATCCAGCTGGTCAACAGTTGGTAGCCTTTCACAATCTGTCCACAGGTACTGCATCATTACTATTGATTGATTGTGAAACTATTTGGTATTTTATTTTACAGGCAAAACGGTTCAGGTTGGTCATGGGTGTTTGCTCTCATGAAGAAAAAAAGTAGGTCAAATGTTGTGTGTCTGTGGCTCTGGTTCCAGCTCATTAATGTCTCACTGAAATGGCTCATCTGCTGAAGGGCCTCTACAAGCCCCGAGATGAACTTTTCTCACCTGATCTGTTTTTTGCCAGTAGAGACAGTGTTGCCAAAATGCTCAAAGAGGCTAATGTGAGGCTCAAGCAAGAATCGTACTTTTCATATCAGCATGATGAATACTTATTTACCAGTAACAGATTTTTCCCCCCAAAAAAGCCTGTTGATCAGACTGTGTGAAAATAAGTCTAATTGGGCCTTGATCCCTCACTGGATCAGAGGCCCTCACCTGGGGGCAGTCATGTTGTAAACACAACATCAAAATTGTCTTAGTAACTCATCATATCCTTCTCAAGGATGATGAAAAAAGTGCCTAAGCGCGGGTGTTTAGCACCATTTTAACTGCTCTACCATTTGTATTTAAGTCACCTACACAGTGCTGGCAGCTCAAGGATAGAACCGGATCCTCTCCTGGAGCAGCACCTCACAGCCAAGCACACACAACCCCTGAAGGGCACTAGATGGTTAATTTGGGCAGCTGAAAAATCACAAAGGCCACAGAGTGCCCTTGAAGGCACAGAGTGCTTCACTACAACTTACAGGGACTTGACTGACTGCTTAAGAGCATGAATTTTGTGGATGATATTTTGAAAGATTCCTTCTTCTAGATTTATGAGGGAAAAAAAAAAAGTAACAACAACAACAACAACAAACTGTATTAACTATCTTCCCCAGAAGTTTTCAATTTTAAATTATCATTGCTGTCTACAATAATGGTCTTGTACAAATATTAAGTGGACAACATCAGGATTAATGAGGGAATCAAATTGTGATAATTATAATCAACTCCATGGTGTTTGACTCTTGTGCTAGAGCACTCATAAGGGGAGGTTGTGGAAGAATTGTTTGTGGAAGAATTGTGTGAAAGCAGGAACTGACAGGAAAACTAGGGCCTAACAGAAGTTTTGACATTACAGAAGCTCCTTGGGGTAATACACAGTTGCCACTTCCAGGATGGCTGGTGCGCACGGACTCTGCTCCTCCACGGGTCCCTGGGCAGCACAATCTGCCCTCCTGGCAGCTGCAAAGGGGAGTAACGGAGGATGGAGCGGAGTGAAGACACCGCAGCCAAACTCTGTTGCACTCCCTGTGCTGGGCTGCTGATAAGCCTCACAGTGGCTGTCTAACGGGAGAGATACGATAACATGTCTGGCGCTGAGCCAGCAAAAGTAGCAAATCACTCCTTTTGGATGAACTTTGCTTTAACTTTGCTCAGTATAATGTGAAAACCACACCTCCATCCCAAAAGTTACGTGCCTCCAAGGTACGACCACCCCTCACTGACCATGTGCTCTAGATTTTCGGTTGACTGTACCTTTAAATGAAAGCGAGAAACTTTTTCACCAATCAATAACAATATTAAGTATGACTCTAGTCACTCAAGCTCTACCTGAATGTAAAGAAAAGTATAAAAGGTGAACTAAGGATGTAAAGTGGGGGGGAAGAAACCATCGTAACTCCTGGGTCAGTCGACAGGCTGAGCCTGCTTCCCTCCCTTGCATCAGGACACCACCTGAGGAGACTCAAGACTGAGAGAGCCCTCTCCCATCTTCTGGGGTGAGTGGTGATTGCACATTTGTACATCAGAGCTAGCTAAAATCCCACGCTCTAGTAGAGAATTTCCTGTACTGACATCTGAAACCTGCTTTGTAAATGTTGCATTTGAATAAATCATACTGTTTGTGAACTCGACTACTTGTCTGGGGGGAGGCGATCGGACCTACAGGTGACAGACTGTTCGTGAATCTGATACTGCCAGAGTTGAGGTTATAGTTGATCCTAGTATTTGGGAACTTGATTCGCTCCTAGGAAGGCGATTGGACCTACGGTCCACGGACTGTTCGTGAATCCGATACTGATTTGATATCTCCTTTCCCCCCCCACCACCACTATGGCTTTCAAACTGCAACATTTCACAGAGGTATTTATCTAACTTACTTAAGCAGTCCACTTAAGAAACAAGCCTTCACCCTATGTACCTTTCCAGTGAAGGGAATGTCTACAGAAGTTTCAGCACTGTTCAGACTAGAAAATTAAGAATTGCCTCATTTAGCTGACTTGATTTACGCTCTGGGGTCCCTACTCTTTCTGCCAAATAGGTAGGATGACTTATGCAAACACCTGAGTAGGTGTCTGAAGTAACACAGTATGAATAATTTCTCCTTTCTTTCCTGTATTCAAGACTGTGGTCCGGCTGGCACCGACTGCATAAGATGTAATTGAAGATGGAGACAAACCTAGTCATTTGGGAGGAAAACATTGGAAGAACTGTCAAAGTCTCAGATGAAGATCTCACAAAGGTAGCGTTCTACCATTTTCTAAATATCACAAAATTCCTGGGATGTCTCATCAATACCGTCATACACAGGCATCAGTTTGAGTCCAATACAAATTGTTTCTTTTTCGGGTAAAGAACAGATCATTAGCGTATACTTTAGGTAGGACATCTTGAGACTTTCTTCAAAGCTAAAACTAGTAAGGATATTGGGTCACTTTGGCGAAACGAGTGCACAGCACATATGAAATCCAAGCTCCATGATTTACATTGATTTCCCAGTGGAATTTAGGTCTGGAGGTTTTTAACAAAAGAGCCTCGGAAAGACTGGAAAACAGGTATCTAAAAAAATCAGTTCATATGCAATTTCACAATATCATAGTAGAGACAAGGAGCTGAAAGTGCAAGCAACGAACAGTGACAAAACATCAGTGTGGAAGCTTGTTCCGTATCATGGGAAGACAAGCAACTTTATATTTCTGACTGTATAATAAAATGGAGTTCTTTTTCTAATTACATTCTTCTCTAAATTTAGGTAAAAGGTATGGTAAATTTTGTTGTTGTTGTTGTTAAGGTTTATCTTTTGGTATAAAATATCACAAAATTTGGCTTTTTTAAAAAATGAGTTTGTAAATAAATAGTAAATCTGAACCATGATATATACAACAGAAAAAGACATTCCACCCATAAGAAACCTTATGGACCTCCTCACTACTGCCTTCAAAAGGATGAATACCATATGGTTTCTGAGGTTTGCTGAAATCGATAAAATCTGTATGACACTGGCCTGGTAACTCTGCACTGGAAGGCATGTTAAAAATTGCAAAGTATAGCCATATGCTATCACAAGTTTGCCTTACTATTGCACAAATTTCCCAAATTTCACTTTAAAATTAATTAGATGAATTTGTAGAATCTTGAAATATTTTCCTAAAATTCCACTACACTTCTACTAATTTTATTAGAAAAGAAAGAAAAGGTAATAAAAACCAAGACGGTGTTTTCAACAAATGAAATGAATAATTTAGGGATAGACAGTGAAGATATTAATGATATTAACAGCCGTATTGCAGGCTTGTCTTATTATGCTATGCTTGCCAGAAATTCAGTTTTGTAAAGGATAATTCAGCAAAGGTGATTTAATTATGCATGTCATATATCTTATGTGTCAGTCACTTTCAGAAGTCACCATTTCACAAAATAGTCATACCCAGCTGTTTTCTATATATTACGTCAGAGAAATGAAAAGGTCTTAGCTTTTTTAGCTCTTATAATGTTACTTTTGGGTTTATGTAGTGGTAGGAAATTTGTTAGTAATCCTTCTTAACCACTTTGGATCAGTTACCCTCTTAAAAAAGACAGCAGTTTAAGCATCAAACTACTGAAAGTAATGCCAAAGCCAGAGTTTTAGTAAACTAACTGCTGCTTGAGGCAGAATTATGCATTGGGCTGTTTTGATGAGTGATGCATGAGCTGCTGGTAACATTCTGTCGATTTTTACCAGTATTTGACTTGGACTGAATTTTCATCTCATGACTATTTTTTTTTTTTTTGCTCCATAAATACCACAAATCTATTATTGTTTTCTCAGATACTTACTGGTATACACAAGCTGAAAACCTTCATCAGTACCCTCTGAGTCTGAGTTAAATTCCAACCATAAATGATTTGAAGTACTACTTAGTGTCAATCCTCTTAATGATGCCCCCGTAAATGCACCCAACAGGTGAGCAGTGTTGTCTTTGCCATCATATATCTGTAAAACAAGTGTTAATTTTACAGTTACTGAAAAATGAAATATTTGAATTACAAAATAAATCATTATATTTCAATTAAGGCAGAGGACAGCTTTGCTAGGGCATATCTGTTACCAATCAACTCCGAGCACCCTTTGGATAAGCTCCTGCCTCTCTTGAATTAAGTTAATTATGGTAACCTTTCAAATGCACAATTTAAAATATGTCACTTCATTTTCTGCATGACCATGGAGGAGGGCAGGGTTGCCATATCATCTCAGTGTTTTCTTAAGCACCTGAGTTTCTCTCTTGCACTGCTAATATTCTATGCTGGTCACAGATTAGCTGCCGATATTTATTTTGTGTGGCTTTATCTACCTCAAGTCACTGAGATGGCATAACAGAAAAGCTAACTTTATCCAAACTTTGGTTAATTAAATGTCTATAAAACTTTTCTACATAAGGAGAGATTCAAACATAACTGTAAAGTAAAGGTAGACTAGGAAATCAGAATAAAATAAATAGAATAACTGCTCCTGTATGTTGGAAGAGCAATGTAATCTATATGTAAATTGGAATACAGCTTTATTATTATTTATTTTTCAACGGTTGTTCTTTTCTATATTTAAACTTGAAAACTTCTATCAGACTGCTAATATAGAAATCAATCTTTTAATAATATTCAGATTTTTTTCTTACTATTTTATTCCTTTGAAGTAATCACAGGTAACAACCTATGATGCAATCCTACCATTCTTAAAAATATTTAAGCTATAATCTAACAGCAGTTGCTGACTTAAGCACAATATTCTATAATATTTATTTAGTGATTTGTATAACTACTAAAACTTTGATAAATGGGTTATAAGAAAAATTTCACTTGCAAATCAAAAAAGTGACCTATGAATAATTTTCAAACTGTCATATAGAGAAATTCTAAAGCTTCACTAAATAAATACAAAATTGTCTCTAGATCTGAGTAAGACTTAATTGTATGAATATGAAATGTAATCAAAATTTACAGTTATAAAGAGAAATTTATAGCAGAATGAATCAAACTAAACCCATCAGCAATAGCAATAAGGCAAGAATAAAAATGTGAAATACTATGATGCCTGCTTGTCATCTATGTGAATGATTTATAGACTTAACTCCTATTTTGCAGGAATTGGATGTCTCTAGAAATACCAGAGACTTTTTTTTTTAATGAAATGTTAAAATAAGGCAAGTAAGGCCATTGCTAGCCACCTCTAATGAATAAATAATTGTATAGCAGTTAAAAAGCAGAGTAAAATGACTTGGCATCTATCCTTGGTTTTACTGAAACAAGCCAATAAACTCAAACAGACTGAATTCTTATGCTAGCATTAATGTTAGCACTTAAACGCTAATATCCTTTTACAGAGTTAAAAAAAAGAAATTGAACTAAAAAAGCTACAATAAATTATGATCAACCTGAAGTAGTTTAAAATACATATTTTAATGTTGAAAGGGATGCCTTATTTAACTTTATTTATTTTTTTTAATTATAGTAAAATCAGTAATCAAGAACGTCCAGAGGCAGGGCAGCACAAAATCAGTTTTGAAATGGACTTAGTTTTGATTTGATATCTGAAATTAAAAAGAAAAAAACGGAATTCCAGAAGCACTACTTCTATCCTACAGAGGCATGGCCATCACGACTGGCATAAAGAGAAGTCAACTTGTACTTGATGCTCCTTTTCCTAATCTCACCAAGCTACTTATAACTAATAACACCCAAGGATTCTGGATTTATTTTATTTTTAAGCACCAAATAAAAACAATCAATTTTCTTCTGTTACATGTGTGTGGACCACAAATAATTAACTGAAAACTGGAAGATATTAATAAGTAGTTCTGCCAACTATTCTCAACAGCTTGCCAGAACTTCCCATAAGCCACTTCATGATACAGATATTCTTCATGTAACAGTTTTCTCAAACACATATTTTATTGCCAATTCTGTCAACTGTCCTGCCACATTAATCCTTTCACATTGACGCATTGCTTATTGTGAACACTCATATCTCTTCAAAGCTGGCATTAATTTTGCTTTATGGATAACTAATTTTAAAATGTATCTAAGCCTATGTCACTTCTATGAAGTAACAAAATTTAAAGTATCCTAAAGCTTAGGAAATTCTCTGATATATTATGTAAGAGAACTGATTTAGCTGAGGAAAGGATGTGATTTTTTTGAAAAAAATAATATGAAGGGTGGCTGACAAATATCCAAATTAACAATTCCTTGAAATTCTTGGAAATTCCTTAGGACAATGAACAGATAAACAAAGCACAAACACACATATATTTCATCCAAGTTACTGTCCCCTATCTAAAAAATATAGATACCTAAATGATAAAGTTATTCACTCTATTTCAAAGTTATCCTCTTTTTGTGTATTTACCTTGCAAAGAAAGTGGTAACAGCCTACATTCTCTTGCACATTTTGCAGGAGCAACATTGTCTTTCTAACCTTCCTACAGATGGGAGTTTGTTAAAAATTTTGAATTAATGTGATAATACATATCATAATGATATTTTGAGATATGATAGGGAAGGATTCTACAAATTAACACCACTTAGGTAAATATGAGTTGAACAGACAGATGTAATCTTATTCTACTTCTAGTGGGAGGGAAGATTATGCTTGTATTTGAGTTTGGAGAATAACAGAAACTTCACGAGCTTCTGAAAGACTTCATTATTAACAAATCTTTAGTAGAAATGAATGTTTGTAAGTTTGGTAGGTTATTTACCTTCATTATATAAAATTTTAACAAGTAAATATTTTAAAGTGATTTTACTGAATTTATGCATTTCAATCAAACTCTTTTTGAGATTTGCCATTGAAACATAATAGGCATATGGATATGTAGATCTGTGCCTTTCTGAAGAAATGGAACAACATAAAATAGGCAGCTCAGAGATGAAGCTGTCAACACCCCGTCATATATATCATTTATACCACATGCAAATAGAAGCACTAATATAAAGACAGAAAAGGGTCCATATGTTTGGTTTTTTTCTCCCCTATATTTATTACCTATTTCACACCCATGTTTTCAGGATGGTGTTACTGAAAGAATATGATAGTATGTGTGCAGAATTCTTAAGAAACAAATTAGCAAAAAAGAAACCCAGATATTATCTCCATTTAAAAACCATCAAGAACTGAATCAGTGCTCAAAGCTGGCCTATAAGTCAAAAAGCAAACAAACGAGGCCAAAATGAATTCTATGTATTGTGCAGGAGGGCAGCATGCATGCACTGAGCAGCACCAGTGGGAAGGGAATCCTTGGTGCCAGTTTTACAATTTGGTCCACTATTGCAATATTCCCTCCCAGCTGCTGCACTGAGGGGTTCTGGAGAACCAGGAAAAAAAACCCAACTTTATTACAGCTCTAATTAAATTTCTTAAAGGACTGAACCTTTCCTTTATTTTCCTTTATTTTTCCTTTATTTCTGAAACAGTGTCCTGTCTCTTTTACAGCTGTACTACATTAAAATCAATTCTTAAGGCCTTTTTTGCATGTTTTTTTCCTGATATGTCAATGATGTTTTTGACACTTTTTTTCCCCTCTGTCTTATCCTTAAGCTCTTCATTCATGGGGTCAATTATTTTCTACTAAAATAGCTAGAGTATTTTCATTATCTAAGGACCATTTTCCATTCCTGCCAGAAACAAAAGTCCTGGAAGTGTGTTGACTTTGCTTCAAAAAGGGTTGAGTTTCTCCAATCTTGAACCGACTTCTGAAACACTGAATGAAATGCATGCTTTTTTTTTTTTCTTCAAAATAAGGTATCTTTATCTTCCTTTTTTAACAGTACACTTACATACACTTAGTTTTAAAAATAAATACAATATAACCTATGAAATGAATTCTCAAAGACAAATATTGGTATCTACTTACAACTCCTGAATAAAAAAGGAATCTGCCTGTGTTTGTTATTGCTCTTTTTATTTATTATTTTTTTAAACATTAGCAGAGAACCACTCTCCTGCTTGTCAGGTATAAATTTGATACATGCTCAGTTAATTCGAACAGAAAGCAGCTGACCTTATGTCTTGATTAATTAACATATTAAAAGTTTAGGAGAATATTCAGCTAATTCAGACTTTAAGTTGGAAATTTTGCTGCACAGCACTAATCTAACACATTAGCTCATAGAAAAAGTAACTTGAAGAATAAGATGAAATTCCTTGCCAACATTTTTCACATTTTTTTCACAACTAAAATCTGTACTTCAAAGATTGAACTTTATCTGAGAAAAATTACTGTGTTTGGGTAGAAAAGCCTTGTCTGAAAGCCTCTGAGAAATATCTTGATTTCTGAGTGGTGCCTTCCTTATCTCACCTATTATATAGTTAAATGGACACTGTGTACTGACTCTATGTCACTCTTGTTGTTGTAACATTTAAATGGTAACTACTTAAAAAAAAAAAAAAAAAAACCTTAACTGCCTTCCATTACCATATTTCATTCTAAAAGACTTTAGATATTTGTTATTCTTTACCTGCCTGATGACAGTTGTTTCATTTTTCTTAAAACAATTTCTCAATATACACTTGCCTGATACTGCAGTATTACAGATAGATAAACTTCAATGGTGTAAAGCATCACCAGCTTAGAAATATCAAATGATTACCACCTACCTTAAGAACATCTCCTTGGGCTAAGTGAAATGTTCTGGCCGAAATATTGATTCCTTTCCCTGCTTGTACCTGAATGCTATAAATGCATTCATGGTTGTTTTCATAGTTAAGAGGATAATTGGGGGAGAGTAAAATTCCTTCATTATTTGTCGTGGAGGCTCCACATTCAGCTGCAAGTAAAATAAAATGTTAAGGTATATTTTAATAGAAAATGTAGCTATTTTCAGTAAAGGTGATAATGAGAATGTTAATGCAACCTAGTTCAACGTGACTAACATTTATTCATCTCCAAGGTCCATTTCTAAAAATGTGTTTGTGATAGTGATAGAAGACTACAAACTAAATTCCTGCAACACATATTAAAGTATGCTAAATCTATAGAGAGTTATAGTTATGTAAATGTGAAATTCTATATTCCAAATATTTTGAAGGACAGTTCTTGAGTTTTGTTTTAGAGGAAATATACGCTGTATTTAATCCAGTGCAGAAATTCTTGAAGACATGCTAATTAAAGGGAAGTAAGAATATTCCAGAGTTTTTTTATATGTATATATTTACTTGTGCACATATGCACATATATATATATACATATATGCAGATACATACATCTTCAAACATATTTAAATGACAGAAGAGATTTTTTTTGTAATGTCAATGTACTGAAATAAACAGCATAATGAATGGGGTAAAGTAGAAGAGAAAACGAAGAGTTATCCTAACTTATTTAGTATTTTTTTTTTAAAAATCTAATTATTAAACAAATAGGAGAACAATTACTTCTGAGGAAAAAAAGTAAATGTAATTATTCCAGAAAAAGAACCTCACAATTAAAGCCTTTGCTAATTAAGAGTTAATCAGAGAGAAAATTTAAATATGAAAAATCCTATCATATTTTGGAGTAGTTATATAATTTTAATTAAGATATTTTTGGAATTAAGGTAGCAGCTAAATTAAATTAACCCCCCCCCAAAAAAAAAAAAGAATTCCTTCCTCATCTTTTTCTGTAGTCCTGATACACGGTAATTACGTGCAAAGACAATAGCACTTTCTCACTTTTTAATGGACTTGGATTCATTTAACTGTACCAGTAAACTTCTTGGGTTTATATTTGTTTTCCAGGATCTCTACAGTATTAATGCCATACATTTTAGACAATGCACAGAATAAAAAAACCTGATTGTGTAAAGCTATGTGACATTTTAATGGATTGAAAAGAAATATAAACAATTTGGTATCTTTTTTAAGACCTCTAACTTTTAGCATCATTATAATTCCCTCACTAAACTTATTGTTTGAAACCTTAGAAATGCAAGATATTAAAATGGCTTGTGTCTTAAATAACTAATAACTATGCAGCATGTTCTTTCTATAAGCAGCTAAAAGCAACATTGATGACTATGTTTATTCAAAAGGGAAGCCTAATAATTACCCAAATAATTCAGAAGTCATCGTCCTATATTAGAATATTTGGATAAATATACTCTTAGAGGAAGCAGGGAACCTTCTAGTCCACACGATCATGTGTATATGAGTGATAAAGATCTCACTCTTAAATACGTGGGTTTTTGCAACTTTAGGGATACACAAGACAGTTTGAACTTTAGCACATAAGAATAAGATAATTGTAAAGTTTAAATATAATCTCTTCCATTCCAGACAGACAGAAAAGTCAAAAAATGCAAGGAAATTATTTCATTAAATTCTATTATATATATATCAAACACTAACTATTTAGCTATTTAACTAATATTTAAGAACCATGCTATGTTTTCTGTCACAAATAAGGAAATTGTTCATATTAAGTAACATTTAAACATCTGATTTTTTTAATATTGATGTAGAAAAAAAGCTTTAAGATGTTTAGAACACTTTATGTATGTTCTCAACTCTCATGGTAAAAGTAGTTTTCAAAACTGTAAAAAGGATGAATGTGTCCCATAGCATTTAGTTAATTCATAACAGTTCCAAATCTGTACACTGCAGACTATAAAAGTAGTTTTCATTGTGCACTTTCTCAAAGAATCAACAATGTAAATTGTGAAACAAAAACAACAAAAAAGAATAATTCTGAATAAGTGCAGTATCAAAAAGGGAAGATTAGACATTCGATAATTTGCAACTTGCCAAATTAATTATACCATAGACAATTCTGTCTCTCAGATTCCACTTTGATTCCTAAACCTTAGCAGTTTTTTTCAGTTAAAATGTATAAGCAACTTCAAATAAGCTATGGTTTCCTTCTATTCATTGATGTTAGTGAAAACACAAAACAGCATAATATCTGTATGCCTGTTTAAGTGCTGATTCAGAGGAGAAAAACATTGATTTCTTAATCTTAAAATAAATAAATGTAGTTTGTTTAAACAGTTTGGAAAATCTTAAAGGCATTACAGATAGAATGACAGAAAAAGAGACAGAAGGAAGAGATAAATAAGAATAAAATGAAGGGAAACGAATAATGAAATACAAGAGAAAATAAAAAGAGATAGGTCACTATTTCAGAAATAAAGCAAAAAAATCACAGGTTAAAGTTAGGTTAAGGTTAAGATCGTCTTTTAATTCTTTTAGTGACAAAGTTAAAATACACATATACTTGTTTTAGCTGAAAATAAGAATCTACCCTGCATATCTTGCTTGTAGGAAGGAAAAAAAAAATCCTCTGTGAGAGAGTAACTGTAGAACAGTAGAAAACACCCAGCTATGTTTTGACAAGGACTTTAATTGTGCATAAATTGAGCACACTATAATGATATAACTGTAATAAAGCACTCTTTCTGAACTTCACCACTAATGTAAAATTGGTTCATTATTAAAAATGAAAATAAACAAAAACTCACAAAAAATGACAGGAAAGTACTCATGTGATGAGCTTACTGTTATAAGAAATAACTATTATGCTTTCTCATATTATAAATATGTTTGTTACAAATTTTCATAATACAAGAGATGAGTTTATGATTTATTTGTGTGTTTAAATTCTGTAATTGTGTAAAATGTCATTGTTACTGTAACCAAGGAATGAAATGCATCCATTTAGGTAATTCAATAACTTGAAAACAATTTTTTAATGAATGAGATTTTTTCAAATGTGCTCTATTAGGAGGATTTTGCAACTTTCTCACAATTCACTTGATGAAATGCCAACCACAAGTTAACTGTTGAACGACCAAACGTGATGTGCAGCTATAGATAAAAATTTGACCTGTCTTTTCTGTTGGAATCAAAAGATACAAACTACGAATGGCAATTGCATATTCTGAAAAGATGTTATATCTCTTGGTAAGGAGACTAAACACATGACAGAAGCTTTGCTGGGAAATAAATGGAAGTGTTCTTAAAAAAAAGGATTATATCTTTAAGCAACAGTGCAGCAGACTGAAGATCAACAGCTACTTCAGAAAGCATATCTAAATTCAGCATTCAACAAATTCTTACTCATAAATCTCTCAGAAGTGAGACCACTTCAGCTGATGGAAGTGGCGAGCAAGATAATAGGAGTCTTACCAAAAACAGACAACAAGAGAGAATAACAAGACAATTCTGAAAGGATTAAATTGTGACTGAAGCATTCTGTCCTTTTGACACTTGAGTTATGGGGTCATCAACTGATTTCCAGGTGCCTTACTTTTCTGTTTTTCAGGTAATGCTATGCTGACAAGGAAATGAAAGCATTGTTCTTCTTACCTTAGCATAAGGGCAGCAACAGAAAGTATATTTTACTTTTATTTTAAATTGGTGCATAAGACCAGATATCCTTTCACAGAGTAAAAAAGAAATGGCCACCATTTGTGGCTAAATGTGGGTGCCTGTCCAAACCTCTCTCAGCAACAGATAGAGAATTCATAGAATCACAAAATCAAAGAATGCTTAAGGTTAGAAGGGACCTCTAGAAGTCATCTAGTCCATCACAATCAGTAAAATTTAAATCAAACTTCTTCCTAAAGCGATGTCTTGCACCCTAGACTTCCCTGATCAGACTGACTAATCTCCACTGACTCTGAACAGGAATATGGACAGCTAGTGCAAGAGATATACTGTTGGCAACTACGTTTACAGCAAGGGATTCTGCTCTTGCTGGCAAAAATCATGGCAAGGAAAAGAAAGTCCATTTAAGAGGAATGATATTCATTCCAACTTTTGACCACTGTATGAACAGTGGCATGGTAATTCCTTTAGAAGATCACAATATGAGAACATAAGGCCTCCAATCAAAAAAAACAGGAACAGTTAAGATGCTTTGTAAAATACTACAATATATAATAAACTGTAACTGATGACATTTCACTATCACACTAGCATTCATATTAGCATTCATATAGCAATATCATACTAATGATGTGATGCTAACAGATGGTGTGCCCTCAAAGGCTGTATTTTGCCTGTTTAGGGACATCATATCCCTGAAAAAAACAACAGAAATAGAAGATATTCCAAGATGACAAGAGATTTACTTAAAGGAATAAACTTCTGATTAACAAGATTAGGAATATAATCGTTCGGACTTTCATATTTTTGCTCCCCAGGCATCCTCACAAGGGCCCTTTACTTAAGCTTTGTAGAAAAGCTACACAGTAAGGCAGTAAGAAAATTGCCACTTAATTGAAAACCTTATTTATTAGCCAAATCTCATGTAAAATATGTCTGCAAATGATTCAAGAAACATAATATGTATGGATGGATTTGTCTGCAGTCTGCTTGTCTGTTTTCCATACATGTAGGATATAGTTCCTTGGAAGTATGCATGTTGGAGACTGTGACCCTTTGCTTCTGCCACGGATCCAGAAAAATAGACAGAAAATATTTTAATGAGAGTGTAACTAAAAGTAGCATATGAACAAAAGGAAAAGAGATTTTAACTCAGTATCTTCCAGTCTATGTTTAGCTATACGGTCTGAGAAAGGAAAGTAAAAGGGTTGATAGAGCTGGGAAAACAACAAAGACTTGGTTCTTTTCTTTATGAATACCTAGAAGCAACTGTGGGTTGCAAGTTTTGACACGACAGCTCCAATAAAAGGTAACTTGGCTCTCAATAAGTCTTATAGAAAAAAAGGAGGTTGGGAGGAAGCAAAGAAAAAATAAGATGGAAAAGAAAGGAAGGGAGAAAGGGAGGGAGGAAGGAAGGAAGGGAGGGAGGGAGGGAGGAGGAGAAGTGATAGACAGAAGAAGGAAA